CAAACTTGCCAAATGCAATGAGAAGGAAGGCTGAATCATCTTTTCCTTCAATAAAGGCACATCTTGTGTCCTTTTGCTCACTTAAAAAAAAAAAATAGATGGTATTTCAGCTAAAACCAGCGCAGCCATGTTTTTTTTTACTTCAGTCCTCTGCCTCTGGTTGACGTGTTGACATCATACACGTCACTGCATTTCATGTATTTTCGGGAGTTTGTAATGTCAGAAATCTAGCAACAAATCATCTTGCTTGCAAGATAAGCTCAGAGTGTTTGCACTTAAAAAAAAACAAAAACATTTTTTAATGTTCATAATCAATTCTTGAGGGGTCGAAATGAACAAAATGAAAGCCAGTCAGCCTATGTCCCCCTAAGCGAGGAGTCAGTAATCCTCATGGATAATGTTGTACATTTCCAAACGAAAACTCTTGGTTCTTTAAAGCTGTTAGGAAAGCTGTTAATGAGAGGAATACAAGTTTTAATTATGGGGATATAGCTTTTTATCATGACCTACAAAAGGAGATGAAAATAAGTATTAGAACAATACAACTGCATGGTAAAGATAAGATATCAAGTCTGTTCCCTTTGAGAATTTCCTGTCCAGCTTGAGAGGGCGTGGCATCTAACAAAAGACAGTTCTCCACAATGGTGTTACTAATACAGTACATCTGATATGGACTTTCCCTGATAAATTAAATGGGTTATAAGATGTTTAATTCTTTAAGCATTAAACCAGTTCTACTTCTCTACATTAGATCATGCCTGCAAGCAAAGAAATCAACATGTACATGGATCAGGGAAGAGTGCTTAAACAGCTTTAATATAGGAATGAAAAGAAAGAGCTCCGAAGAGCTTCTTATGAGCTCAAAGTCTTGCATTTTAATGAATATTCTCAGTTTTTATTTTCTGACTCTTTGTTTCTTATCCTGAAGGATGTTCTGCAAGGATGTCAGTCATCTTTTCTGCATACTGAAAGGGTTCAGATGTTAAACCCATTTTATCAAACTCTTTACAGGCAACCACCATTCAGTGGGTTAAATTGCCTTTAGGTGGGTTTCAAAATGATGACTTGCATTATCTTGACTTCAGAACATTACAATTTATCTTTAGAATAATATTTCTTACACTACTGAGCCAAATGACTTCCAGCCTCTCTTCTTTTTATTGGCACCTCTTTTAACTAATGATGTCCCCCAATGGCCTGTCTGGAACCAAATGATACCAGTGATAGTTGTAAATAATATCTGAGACATTGATAGAGAAAACGCCTGGACACCCTCAGGAAATACTCACTTGAATACTGTTTTATATTACTTGCTTTTAAACTTGAACTTGTATAAGATAAAACCTGTATCTGTACCATTATTTGATATAGGTCCATATTTTTGGCCATTTATTTATAGTGACTCAACGGAGAGTCGCTGACTACAGCGAACTATGACCCCACTATGCTTCCTTCCACTTTGTAGTTGAGCTGCTGTTGTTTCTCCTTTGTTAGAATTAGGAGTGGATTCAGGGGAGGGGCCAGTCATTGTCAAACCCTGTGGCCACCTCTGCAAGATTATTTGTTGTTCCCATATGGACATAATTACTGCGAAACAGCAGTCCCCCACTAGTACAGTAAATAATCATCTCAAATGGACTCTCCTAACTATTTAGACATGCTACCTGTTAGTTTATTGGCCATAAACATAACAAAAATGTGTATTAATGATTATTCATATCAATATACTGACTTTAAAGTTGACAAATACAGAATTCATTCTGTTTTAAGAATTAGCTTTTGTGTTTTATGGGGCAGAAGGCAGAGGATTTTGTCTCTGCAAGTCATCAACAGTCATATATGTAATAAGACATAAACAACTATATCTATTTTATGTATTAATGCATGTTAATATCATGCAGAACCACAATCCAGAAGTCACTTTTTGACTCGATGTTGATGTACAAGATCAACATTCCTGCCATTCTGCCAAAACGAATCTCCCAGATTCACTTGCTCTTTTTTTTTTCTTCTAAGTCATTCCTATTCTTGTCATAAACTTGTATGAAATGTGGCCTCTTTAGACTTTCAGCCATTTTCAGAGAAGAGGAGGAGAGCAGTGGAACTATATGTAACCAGTTACAGGTATGAAAATGATTTAAATATGAACATCACCTTATGCACAGCTTTCTATCAGCAAGTTTAATTAGCTTTAGCTGTAGAAAATGTATCTTTGCACGTTTAACATACATTATTTTATGAGCTTGGAAGTTCACAGATTTATTTATTCTAAAATATACCAGAATTCAGCTGTTAGAATTCACAGAACTGTAGAACTAAGTTAAAAGTTCAGGTAAAAGGAAAAATGCGGAAAACCATGAACTCAAAATGAAAACCATAGTGTAATATCTCAAGATAGTAAAATTTTAAAATAAGAATTTATATATTTTTTTGCTGTCTATATGTCTTTTTGCATTTTTCTAGAAGGGTCTATTTGTACCAGTGGAGGAAGAAAATAGGCAACAAGACTTGAAATATTTTTACTTACAACTTCAAATACACTTAAAGTAACATTGTCTTCAGAAGTCAACTAATCAGTAAGCATAGATTCCAATCTTAGATCTGGTCTTATTGTCTTGTCCCTGATGTAATACAGCATTGTCCTCCATTTAACACATATAACTCCATTTTTCATTTCATTTAATCTTGTGTATTCTAATCTAAGAATAAATGCAGCAGTTCTGTGACGACCACATAGGTTTGTTTGAGAACATTAGTGAACATTGAATCATGAGGATCAAAACTCACAAAAATATTTCACCCAACTTCTAAAATTTATACAGTATAATTTTATTACATAAGAAATTCCCATGTTCTTGTTTTAGATCATTTTAACACAAACCTAATAAATAAACCTCATGTGATTTATATTAATATGTAAAAAAAAGAAGAAAAGCTTATTAATTTCAATATAAATAATCATATGTATGTAGTATTTATAAAGAATACATGCTTAGAATAAAAAATAATTAGTTTATTATACATAGTTTATTATTTGAAATGCATAAAAGGGACCCTGATTATTATGTATTTGAAACAACAGACTTTATGTATTTGAAATAAAAAAAACAACAAAAAAAACAAAGACACCTTAGTACAGTACATAATGTAACAGACTTAGAGGAAAACAAACCTAACATACAGCCAGAGCTACAGTAAAACTATTTCAATCAAAATTGTCCTTGTTTTAAATACTAGACATGTTGACATGTAATCTACATCCATTCTGAATGAGGGTGAGCTATGTTTAAAAACAACAAATATTGTTAAAAACCATGTATCATTTTTCTTTCCCTTCAAAATGACATTTAGGTGGTCTGTCACTTGAAATACATTGAAGTCTTTAATATGAAAATAGGAAAAATAATACTCGTTGAATATTTTACAAAGAACTGACCTTATACCTACTTTTCCTGCCTTTCCTTCCTATTTGTCGCCTTATAAATGGAATAAGAACAGGAAACCAAAGGGGCCTCTTTGTTTTTTTATCCTACATCTTCACTGTGTTCTCTGCCAGCATTTGCTAATACTCTGGACACACCTGGCATATTACACAGGCTTATATCCTGCTCCTCAACACCTTGCAAATGTGCTGATCCAGGCTCCCATTGTATAGTGTTTTCTCTGACTGTATGGCTTTCTGTGCTCAGATGTAATTAAATCCTAATCCTCCTGCTGACAAAAGCAGAGGTAGACTTCATTCATTTGGCAGCTGAGAATGCTGGATGGATAAGCACTAAAAAGCTAGAAGTAACACTGGGTTCCTATAATCATGTCCATGTGAAGCCTGGAGTTTTATTTTATCTTTTTTTTCCCTAATAGTTGATGATGCATAGTCATTCAGCAGAGGTCAGCAGATAGTTTTAGAACAAATGATGGTCATTGCAGAAGAAACACAGTCTCAATCAGTGTGTCTAAAAGAAATATATGTTCTAAAACAAATACAGTTTTCCAGAGCTTCAAAACCACAGTAAGCAAATCATGCTAACAACCACACTGCAGCACAATAGAAAATAGTTGTCCAAAAAGAACAAGTTCTTATAACCTCCCTATGGTAGGTCCAACCATAATTTGCACAGTTTCATGCTCTTTTTGATGAAGTGACCAATGTAGTGTTTTAGGTCTCTTTATATACATAAACACAGGGTGCCCTGGTGTTCTCATGTGAACATGCTGACTCAAGCCTTAAACCACAGCATCGCTGTAACAGCTGCACATTAGGCCACATGTTTATGTAGCCATGAGAGCTCAGTAGGTGTGTGTGAGCTCCAAAGGCATCAGGTCAGTGACTAACCAAACCTCCTACTGTAAGTAAAGATGGGAACAGAGGGGGCGAATGAACGAGAATTTCCCACTAGTAGCAAGTTGCGTTCCCAACTATTTGGTGGCATGAATGCTGCCGATCTTTGTATGACATTTGTGGTTTTTGAATCCAGCAATATGAATGTTTTCTGCTGTGCTGGAAAAATACAAGTTGTTAGGGGCAAGTATTTGCAGTTCTGTTTTCGTTAACATTCCAGATCATAAGGAAGCACCTCAGAGTACCAACAGGAAGTCACCTGGAAATTCAATCAATTGCTTGTCAGTCTCTGAGTTGACCCATGGTTATTTTCCAGACACTGGCTGTTGAAATTTAAAGCTAAGAGTCTCACTAAAAGGCAGCAGAGACTGTTGGTCTACTGTTACAAGTAAGTACAAGTACATACTCTCTCATGAAATTTGTTTTTTGTTTCGTTTACAAGTTAAAGTTTTCAAAATATATTACTAAAATAATAGCACTAAACAAAGGATTGATATTATTAAAAAAATATTTTTTTTCCTTAAATATTGGGCTTCATTCTATAGTATCTAGATAGGAAATAGGGCCAATAAATAAGGGAAGACATGCAGGAAATGGGCCACGCCTGTTAATCAGCACTAGACAACAGCATTGAGGATTGTAGCCTCAGTATAAGCTGCAGCTGCTCTAACAATGAGCTGCATGACACTCGAAGAATGGCTATTTCATCTCGTCCAGCAGTTTTACAATTCTGTAGATCTCTGAAAGAGATAAAAAATATATTTGTACAAGCATATACAGTATATCACCAGTGTGTAAAAAATTTATCTCACAAATTACTGTTTGATGCAGTAGTAATAAAGTAAGAAAAAATAAGTCATAAATTTCAAATTCCAAAAATATATTCACTTTATGCTTGGACAAGGTTTGGACAGTTGGACAAAAAATATTAAGGATCACATAGTGCGACATGGGAATAAATGTGGCAGAGAATCCTGTTTTACCTGCGTAATGCAAAAGCTCTGGGTATATCACAAAGTCTTTCAGTAATCTACTTTTCGGTTCCTAGACCCAAACAAAAACTCAAATAGCAGCACTCACCACCTTATTAGGAAGATAGATATAGTCCATTTAGTGAATTTTGGGTTTGCCATCAGTTGTTTTTACTGCTGAAAGCCAAACCTCCAAATGTAATAGGCCAAAAGACACATTTTTTTAATCCCAGAGGCCCTCAGCTTTGCTTACATCACAGTAAACAAAAATAAGTCAATGACTTTCTCCCTCCAACCATTTAGGTGGAGATAAAATGCTTAAAGTGGGTTTACTTCCACACAGAAAGTTGCAGATATCACACAGATCCATACATGCCAGTAGAAGTAGGCACTTTTTCACACAACAGTAACAGCAAAGCCTTGCGACATCGGACTCTGGACAAGCAAGCTTTCGAGGTCTAGAAAACAATTAAACCCTGGAATGACACACTGTATGTGTGTGGTCAGTGCAGAGGAAAATCTAAATAAAATAAGGAGGAATTATAAAACGAGAGCTCTGTTTGGATCAGCTCTTAAGACTGGGCAGAGCAGTGCCAGCATTTCTGCTGAATAATCCCCAATCTAACTAACCATCTGCAGCTCTATCCTACCCTCACTTTTATTTGAGGCAGTGACTGACTCCCAACAAAGAGGTCACAGTGCCTTGTTTTCTGGTTTAAACATTTGCATCAAACTTAGTGGAATTGATCCATGTCGAAAAACTACTTCAGAAGACCAGAGGATGCCAACAGAAAGGAAAGAGAAGACCCTGGGCTTCCCAAACCAGTAATCCCACTCTCTAATGGTGATTCATATAAAATTCCTATACAAACCGCACAGGGAAGCGGCCAGTGGTGAATCCCACACAGTGAGATCATTCACTGCTTCGCCCCCTTACCTCGTGCTACTTGATAGAAATTGAGGTGCATGGAGAGAGCAGAGCCATGTATGCTGAAGTTTAAATGACTTTTCTGTGAAATCACAACAAGGCAACCAATCAAGGACTGGCTATAATCGAAGATCGTTTCACTTAAAATGGAATACAGAGAATCGAATCAAAAGTAGAAATAAGAAATGCTCTAAAGAGGTTTTTATGTAGCTTTAAAACAAAGTTGTTTTAATTTAGTCCAAGAAGGACTGTTTATTATCCTCCCTTACCTCCAGCACAGAACCCAGTCTGTCGCTGCCCACTACCCAGCATCGGTGCTTCCTGCATGGGTAGATTTACAAGGAGGTACCACTGAATCTACTTCCTGCTCAGATGCATCTCTCCCTCGCTCCTCGCTATCTCTAAGCCATGACAGAAAAAATAGACAAAGCTAGTTTTAATTCAAGGAATCTCTACTTGAACTACTTATTAAACATTTTGATCACACCGCAGAGAAGGACAGCACAAAATCCCTTCCTTCACCCCAAAGGACAAGGATAAGCTTCTACAGAGGATAGCTGCCTTGGAATTGAAGATAGACAGACTGGAAGTCAATGTGGAAATAAATGCTGGTCATGGAAATGATACGACCGTGCCTGTGCTGACCCTACCAGTGTCTCAAAGCACTGAGATAATCCCACTAGTGGTTTTAAAAAGCAACCAGTCAGAGCAAAAAATAACCAATGGAACTAAGAAACAAGGTGCTGCTTCCAATGACAATAACAAGACTGTTAGCCCCTGCTGGGAAACCCTTGGAGCAAAGCAAGAAAAACAAACAATCCAAGCCAGATCTCAAAAGCAGTCTTACAGGACAAACGTCACATTTAGATAACAAAACCTGGCCAAGACTTCAGAGAAACATGTCTTCCACCCTGAATATGAACATTTGCAAACGTTTGTTTCCAAAATAAATGATAAAGAAGGATCCACTGAGATTACTGAGAATATGGGAATTTTGCAAAAAAAAAAAAAAAAACCATATTTGGCCCTACAAGACCTTGCAGAGAACGGCCTGTTTCCTGACAGTAAAAACAGGTATGACAACATTCATCTCTCTCCCAAACAGCCTCATAAACAGCTGATAAGTCAAGAACATTAATAGTAATTAATGATGCTGTGAACTAGATTAAACGCTTCTGCACCAAGAGCAACACAGATATAGTGAATGTTGCCTGTGCCATGATTTCCAAAATGTCAAAGAGGATCACAAAGACCACAGAATTATACCCATTAGTTTATAAATAGCCTCAATACATAACAGATTTGTTGTCAGTGTCTCAACCTTCCAGATCACCCAGGTCTTCTAGTTCAAGCCTACTATGTTCACCCAGAGCTAGAATGAAACATGGAGAAGCAGCATTTACTTCCTACTGTATGTTCCACTTATCTGAAACAAACAACCAGAAGAATGTAAAAGTGCTGAAAGCCTGAGTTCTTTTAAGTCAAAGGTAAAAACTCATTTGTGTAGAACTGTCTTTGCCTGTTAAGTTAAACTGCTAACTGAGGCCTCATTATTTTAAGGTTGTGGTCCAATTGTTTATTTGTTTTACTAATGTTTTTGCCTTTATTCTGCTTATATTTCTGCTTTTATTTAATGTAAAGCACTTTCACTTGTCCATGTACTGAATTGCACTATACAATTAAACTCGCCTTGCCTGCCTTGACTTGAATCTGACTGTCATCCAGACGAGCTTCTGAATGAATCAAATTGGACTTTTTTTTTTTTTTTTTTTCAGAACTTTTGGGGCTTTTCCAAAAAATGATGGTCTCCCCAAGGGGATTCAGAGGTTGTTCATAGAGAGAAATTTTGCAGCAGTCCATAATGTTAAGTTTCACCTGTGCTTTTATTATTAATAAATGCAAACAGCAAGACCTTGACAGGAAATGCTATAGGGTTGCCAAGGGTAACGGCAGGTCCAAAGTGAAGGGTCTGGGAGGCTGGTGATTAACTAAATATTGAATAATCATTCCACCTACTAAATAAGGAAAAAAATGCCCACCGTTATATTCAATACCAGCACATGAATGACATGTGATATTATGCAATAACTTTATATCAGGAAACGAGCGCAGCACTAAGGTCTGCTGGGATGGCGAGGTCATTGGCCGTATTTAAAAAATAATTCTATCTTAAAAACCAAATAAAAAATTTTTTTATTTCATATTTATAAATTACCATTTTAAATGCACAAAAAAAGCAATAACCATTCGGTCTATTTGCTGAGTTTTTTTTTTCACGTGTGCTCCGCGCAGCTGAAGCTCCTACTGTATGTATTTGGTGAAGCGGTTCATGGTGTAAACACTTTGCATCTGAATGCAGAGCGGTCAACTCCCCATGAGAAAATCACGAGAAATCCGTGTTCGATCTGAACACAGACTACACCTTAAGCTACTACTTATTGATTTTCTCTATTATGGTTTAACTATATGAATCCAGCATTCTATTTTATGTAGGAACATCATTTTGTCCAGATAATATATTTTCCCACTTTCTTGAACATGGGAAATACAGTCAGAAAGTGTAAGCTCTTTTTGTTATTGTTGTTTTAAATCAAACGAGTACTACATATAAACCAAGAGCCAATGGAAACAAAAACTAATATTTTAGAGTGTTTGATGAGTATTAAGTAACTAGTAAACCATGAGTCAAGGTTCATTTCATTCTTCAATTTTCTGCAGCTGAATTTAAACCACACTTTAAAAAATAGCTTTTCTATAAGGACGAGCTTACTCTGGGCACAACTTTTTTACAAGTAGGGTGGTCTTTATTGAAGATTTTCTTCTTTTTTTCTACATCTTAGGCCTCTAACAGCATATCACCACACACATTCAAGGCCATACACTAACTGCTTTCATTGCTTTTGGTTTTGGTCAGAATCTATAATCATCTAAGGTGAACTATCCACATCCTACCTGCCTTAAAGCTCTGGAAAAAAAAAAAAGAACACCCATCCAACACATATTTACCGTAAATACTGAACATACCCTTAGCAATTAAAAAAGTATGCTTAGCCTGAGAGGTGAGAATATATTAAAGTAAGTTGGGGTTTTTTATAACTTGTATTGAACAATAAGGGTGCTTGTCTGCATAAACTTTTCACTTAACTGATAATCCTAAATTATTGCAGACTGAGGTTTATTTTAACAACTCAATGTGTGTATGTGAGGCAGTCAAACTGGAGAGGAAAAAGGAAATGGTGAACAGGGTGGCCTCTCTCTCTTGCAGGCAAAAGACAAACAGTTTACATGGAGTGAATTTAGGGTGCCACTCCAAACAGAGGAGAACGGCTACAGAAAACACCTCCAGGAGACAGAGGGCAGTGAAAATACCAGCATTGCTTATGATAACAACTCAATTTTCATTTCAGCAAATATTCATTTTAATTTGTTTGGTTTATAAATCTACCATCCCAAGGGAGGGATGGTGACCATTAAACCAATGTGTTAATGCCATTTACTTAGTGTTTGCATTCTTATTTAAATTTAGGAAAATATTTAGAAAAAATTGAGTACAATAAGATATCTAGACATGCAACAAAGAGATGTATAAAGCTGTCAATTCTAATGCTCACTTCATTTATTTCCTTTGATGGGTGTCTGGTAGTGAAAGGTTCTCCTTGCTAGAGCATTGCAGGTAAGGAGTCTCAATTAAAAATACATCCATCCATTTTCTTACATGCTTATCCTGAGTGGGGTCGCAAGGGGTACTGGTGCCTATCTCCAGCTGTCAACGGGCGAAAGGCGAGGTACACCCTGGACAGGTCGCCAGTCCATCACAGGGCAACACAGAGACAAACAACCA